CAGCACATGAAAGGCAAAGAACCTCCGTTGAGGTAAGTTATGCACATACATTGAAGGGAGATCACCCCCACTAAGAGTGCAATGGGGAGATCAGTCATCCAGTATCTACTGCTCAGCAGAGTCTGGATTTATACTCCTTGCTGTTGCTGAACTCACAAATGAACTCCTCTGTGAAACGGTGCGTCTCTGTTACCGCTTTGTAATATACAGAGCCCGAACCCGGGTGGGATGGTGCTACATGCAATCTCCCTCCCCCCGCCAGCTCTCCTGTGGTAATTAGCACTAAATGAAGCAGTTACTTTGGCAGCAGAGTCAGCTCACTGTCTTATTGGGCTGGAGTGGGAGGAGGGAAAACAGCAGAAAGCCTGTTCTCTGCATTCTCTCTAGAAAATGGACATGCATAATTTATCCTCCCCGGCTGCTGCAGTATAACTTTAATGCACGCCGATTCTATTACCAGCAAAGCACGCAAAGCTGACCTGTTCTCTTGGGAGCTGACTACAGATGTCCGGACAGCCCGAAGGTTACAAAAGGGCACAGCCATTTTTTTCCCGTTAGTACAGTTGACTGGGACTACAATATATTCCAGGCCTAAGAGGCTTACGACTGGGATAAGTCTGATGCTAAAGGCAGTGCAGTGGTGTAGCGGGGGGGAGAGAGGGTCGGTGGGGGGGAGGCCAGTTGCCCACAGGCATTATACTGGGAGGGCGCCAATTTAGTCCCCTTCTGCTCCCCCTGTCATCCCTTGGCTTGCCTGCTCCTCCTCCACCCACCACCACTGGCTGGACCCTCCTCCATCTCCGCTGGAGGGTTAGTGCGTGCAGGAGCCTGACCCAAAACTGGAGGCGGCAAGGGAAGACACGGTACAAGCTCCACCTCTTCCTCCCAGAGTTGGGCTCAGCCATGCGCCAGGTTCGCGGTGGTGGTGGTGGTGCAAATTTTGCCTTTGCCCCTGGGCACATAACACCCTTGTTACGCCTCTGAGATAGTGAATAGCAGATGGCATTAGTGCCTATCAATTTTGTGTTAGTATAAATAATCCAGCGAGCCACTTCTGATTTCTCCTTTTGCATTTTTTTTATATGCAGAGAGATGGTGATCTGAACATGTTTTCTTGAGTTTCCCACAGAATTAGCTCAGTGTATATTTGAGTTGCCACGCCTTAGGATATAGATCTAAGAATTCAAAGTCTGAGCAGTTCAGTTCACCATTTGCACCTGCAAAGAGAGTCTTGGTGGTTAAAGTTCTGGAAAAGTTCGTTAGCTTGTTTGTAATGCTTTGGGCCAACCACGCTATTCAGCAGATCTAATATGCTGTGAGAGCCTGGTCCTGAAAACACTTTTAGATGTAATGCTCGGTGCTGTGAACAGTGCTGCTGAAAGCATTGGATACAAGATTCAGGAAAGCATTTCAGCATGTGCCTAAAGTTCAAGGGAACCTGACAGGCTTAGATTTGAGCACATGCCTATATGCTTTGCTGAATCAGGACTTAATTGTATACAGGCAGTCCCCGGGTTACGTACAAGATAGGGACTGAAGATTTGTTCTTAAGTTGAATTTGTATGTAAGTCGGAACTGGTACATATTGTAGGGGAAACTCTAGCCAAACATTTCTCCAGAGCTCAGTTTTATTCTCCCACACCTCACTTCCCTCAGTCCTTTATTCTCAAACTGAGGTGTCTGCTGAGAAAAGCCGCTCCGCGTCTCCCTGGTCTGCTGGGGCGGGCGCTAGCTTCACGTCTCCCTGGTCTGCTGGGGGGAAGCAGCTAGTGCGGGGTTGCCTCACCCCGTTTGTAAGTAGGGATCCGATGTAAGTCGGATCCATGTAACCCGGGGACTGCCTGTATAGGACTGGAACCTAATCTAGCAAGGAGAAATAATTGTCAGATACAATATTGGAAATAAAAATGCAAACCCCTGATAACTCCTTTGTTAAACTTTATACAGGTTGAACCTCTCTAGTCTGGCATTCTCTGGTTCAGCAACATCTGTGGTCCAGTATGATTTTAGTGAGGTGGATTCCACTTATCATTGACATGGCCAGGTTTTCCACAGTCCCATAAAGTTTGTTTACAGCCACCAGTCCTGGCTCTCAGTGTTCTGTGTTGTTGTTTAGCTCTAATTTACTCCCACTGCTTGCTGGGCTCTTATAAGATATTAGAAATGTTGGTAATGCTGCTAGACAATATTGACTTCCTGTGGTTCAGTAAATTCTCTGGTTCGGCACCGGTCAGGTCCCAAGGGATCTGGCCTAGAGAGCTATTAAAGGTACCAGTGCTAGAGCCATTGTTACGTAGTAGTTTGAGTGCTCTGGGCCAAATTGTACTGGCATTACTTAGATTGTGAATGAGCATTATCTTACTCTCAGTCCCACAGAAGTCAATAGAGTACTGCTTTACATTAGGCTGCCAAAATGTGGCTCTGAATGGGGTTTTATACTCTTAGCCTAAGTACTCCATGGAGCTGTGCTGCATTTAAACCAGTTGAGGAGCTGGTCCAGAGTCTGCTATGGATGAAACATATTTCTGTGCTCATTAGGTGGCGGGTTTTTGTTTGTTTTGTTTTGTTTGTTGGATGGGGAAGAGAATGGGGTTATCTTAACATCAATGTATACAGGGCCAAATCTTGATTCTCTCCTTTTTGGGGTGCTTACTTTTATACATTGTATCTATCAACTACTTTCTGGGGGGCTTACAAAGTCAAAAGCACTAAGCGTAAATCAGATATGTCACAAGAACATTGATGCCAGCTGGAACTGTGTCCGGTGAAGGACTGACGAAAATCTGAGTAAGGACCTCAGGATCTAGTCTACAGAGCAAAATCTAGCCCATCTTTTAATGCCCATTGACAATGAGATGTCTTCAGGATTTCTAACTGGCAGGCCCTGAAATTGGGACTTTGGAGAAATTGACATGCTTGCTACCACTGAATCTTGATTTAGCAATATCCAGGACTTTGAAAGTGTATTGGAGAGTTCTGTATTTATCAGTTGCTTAGGGTTTTTGGTGGAATACAGCTGCTTTGATTTATGCAATGTGTAGGTTTTTTGAGACCTGCTTTGTTAACAGCAGAGTAACACTAATAATAGCAATAACAATTGGTCGTGGAACAAGATGCACGCCATCTGGCGGCCGTAATGGGGTAGTGCAGTATCATGGGGCTCTATATTGAAAGCTTTTTGTAGTTTCTTCAGATACTTTCAGAATTTCCCATGTATCTGATCTTCTAGCACAGCTTGTTGAGAGGGGGAGGAAGAATTATGTCAGAGCCTACGGGGAATTGTGTACAAACTCCACAGGAACTCACCGTCCCTGTGCCAAAGAAGCTTGGCTACAAAAATGGGCCCAAACTGCACATTGCTGGAGTCAATCTAAACTCCCGCAAGGTTTGGGGAGGATAGGGGCCATATCTAGGGATATGGGTCAGACCCGGCTTTATGCGGTTCTCCGTTCATCTTCGATCACTAAGCTACTTACTGCCATGTTCAAACATATCCAAAGGATTAAAACACAAAGATCACTGTGTGTGAAGGAGAGACTAGCCCTGAAATCAAAGGGACACACTTTCTGCTCTGGCTGCTTGGTGCTGCTCTGGAGACACAAAGTAGCCAGATCCTGGTTCACGGGAACCCAATGCTGGTATAAAATTTGTGGAAGCTGCTCCTGCACCAGCCCTGCCATTGGGGGTGTGGCACAGTACAGCTCCGCTCATCTGTCAGCCAGGAGCACCCAGTCTCCCAGAAGCCTGTTACTTATGCTGAGACCAGCTGGTTCCCAATAAAGGGGACCTGATTGTCTCCCTGATGTTCCTGCCCAAGGAGAGTCCAGTCACAGGGAGAACTGAGCCCAACTCAAGCTTTGTCATTGGCTTCAGTGGGTGCAGGATCGGGCTTGATAAAAGATGCAGACAGGGAGCCCACAAACACATCATATGGGCATGCTGATTACAGCTCCCAGGATGACCAGGTCTCCTGGTTCTTTATTTCTGCCAGAGGAGTCCAAAAAACCAGACCGTTGATAAAACAGACTGTTCCATCTCGGTGCTTTCTGCAGAAGAATCTATTCGTTTTCTTCCCCACCCGGGAGAAGAGTGCAACAACTGAAACCATTAGAAAAGGAGCATTCAGGGATTTTAAGGAGAGATGGCTCCAAGCCTCAAGATTTTGATCCACAGTGTTCAGTTCAGCAAAGCTTTGATCTAGGTTCAGGTCGTTCAAGAGAGAAGGGCAGCCAGAAAGTTTGGATCCGCATCTCCTCAGGGCTTCAGGGGTATTTTAAATCTGAGGTTTTGTTTTAGGCTAATCTCTAGTTTAAGACAGTGCTTCCCTGGAACAAAAAGGACCTTCAGGAGCTGTGAGAGGTGGCCCTGGCTGGACCATACATTGGCCTGGGAAGGACTTGTGTTCACATGGACGCTGCTAGGATCTCTAGTCAGGGTGGGGTGAAGTGCAATATGCAGTACAGTTAGAATGTGAGCATTCTCCTGCTTTGTACGGTGAACACCTCAGGGACCACTGTAGCAATGACAGTGAGGCTGCCAAGAGGCAGAGGCAAGCATTTTCTTAGACTGGATTTCCAGTACCTCAGGTACCTGCTGAATGCAGTTTGTTACCGACTCAAACTTTTTTTACAGTTGCCTTTCAGTGCAGAGCTTGGGGTCTGTGTCCTGGCCCATAATCCCACGTTCACTGGCCCTGTTGACTCTTTCTAGTGACTGTCCATGCAGAGTGTTTGTGGGAAGTGTTTTGGCTGCTGATTTTTGGACCCTAGCGTCTCTTACTGGGTAAACACTTCACTATTTAGAACCTCACATGAGTCAATGTCTTGGCCTTCTTTCCCAGACACTGTTTATAGGAGAGGGAAGCTGCCTTCCCAGTCAGTGTCAACACCTGGTGTGGTCTGTGACTGCTCAGTGCTCTTTGGAAATGGGCGGGCACGCAGCATTCTTGGGAAGGGAGGCTGTGCAAATCCATCACAAGGTGCAATCCTATTAACTTGCAGATTCTGTGGAGAGCCTGTCTCACACCACCTCATCCCTCCAGCCCTCACCAGCCATCTCCATCCATACCTCAAGGATCACAGACCCCTCCTCCTCTGTAGGCAGTGCCACCACAGATGCCTCCACTGCTGAAGAGACCAGGAGCGAGTCGGAGTCTGTCTTCCTCCCCGATTACCTCTTCCTATCAAACTGCAAAACAGGGAAGCTCAATCATACCAGGTAAACCACATCATGTTCTAACGCTTTTTTACAGTCGATATGTCTCCTTGCCAATGAGCTACAGTTCCACCATTATTCCATTCCTGCACTGGATGCAGGGAACAAAGGTGGGCATAAAGTGGCTTTAATCCACCTAGGTGCCTTCTGTATTCTGGGTGTTACCATCGTCCTATACAACTCCAAGAATAGGTTAAAGCAGCCCTGGGGCTGATCTAATTTACACTATACAACAGCAGCTCTATAGGGGCCTTTCTGCAGGTGAGACTAGCATGTTTCCAGCCATGACCCTTTTCTCTCACATCTCTCTCGTGAGCTGCAAGAGTGTGAGCAGTAGGGTGTTAGCACTGGCTCTGTATCCCCCAGTACCCTCTTGCGCCAAGAAATTCCCTGGGGACTGGTTATAGCCCTTTGGCATCCACCGAGCAGCATGCAGGGGAGGAAGCACACAAAGTAATATGCTCCAGTGTTTATATTCCTAGTATACTGACACTCTTTACTTTCTTCTCAAACTGGCAGAATGAAACCTTAAAGACCCAAGAAAAGCTCAGCTCATTCTGCCCCTTCTGGCCCCAGTCCTCCAGGATGGCATTAGGGAGCACTGGGCTTCAGGAAGCCCCAGGAGCCAGTACTGACCCCAGGTCCAAGGGGGCTGTTGCTTTAGGGCCACGTGTTCCTGGAGGGGCCATCTCTCTGAGAGGATGTAAAACTGGGGTTTTGATCGTCAGTAGTTTTTAAAGGGCCCTGGCACATGAGACGATGTGTTGTGTGAAGAAGTGCTTCCTTGTGTTTGTTTTAAAGCTGCTGCCCGCTCATTTTATTTGGTGATCCCTGGTTCTTATGTTTTGAGAGAGAACAAACAACTTCTCTTTATTCAGTTTTTGCACACCAGTCATGATTTCGTAACCCTCTATCATATCCCCCTGAGTCATCTCTTCTTCAAGCAGAAAAGTCCCACTCTTATTCATCTTTCCTCAGATGGCAGCCGTTCCATGCCCCGAATCATTGTGTTGCCCTTTTCTGGACCTTTGCCAATTCCATTTGGAAAAAGTTCAGAAAATACCCACAGAGTGGCAGGAGCAGCAGTGATATCTGGCACTTTGCCCCTACATGTGCTGAAAACCTGTGGACTCCAGTATCTGTGGATCCACAAGCTGCCCATAGCCTGCCCCAAAACCTCTCTAGGTGCTGGGGTGCAAGGAGCCCCGCTGAACTAGCACTCTGTGAACAGCCCCCTCATCCTGCCTCCTATGTCTTCCAAGTGGATCCTCATCTGTTCTCAGGGAAAGGTGGGGACTTTCCACACCCATGAAGGAGAGGGCAGGATTTAGCCCCTGCTGCACTTTTGAGCAGGTAGCATCATTCTGCCATCAGCATTCGTTATGCCGTGAAAGGCGGCACAGGCCTTAGCCAAGGGTAATATTCTCAGTCCTTCCTGGGGAGCCGACAGCCATGCCTAGCCTCTAGGCAAGGTGTGTATGTGGGGTTGAGGGACTCTGTGCTCCCAAAAGGTGTGGGGCTTCAGGAAGAAGGGGCGGGGTCACGGGCAGCCAGCCCTCAGCGCCGCCTGGAGCATGCCATGCCCCCCCTTCCCCCAGCCCTTAGAGTCACCTAAGAGTTAATGTGTCTGGGGCTCCGAACACTGCTGCAGTAGCAGTGGCAGTAGTTGGGAGCACTGGGTCCTTTAGAATCATTGGGCCCTGGGGCAATTGGCCCCTTTGCCTCCTCCCCTCCTCTGCAAGCTTGATCCTTCCCTTGTTGTCCTGAAAGCCCCCATGGTTTGGGTTGGAGTTTCTACAAGAAGAAGCGCTGCTTGATGTATTGAAATAATGCTGTGGAGGCCACTTAGCCATGGTCTAGGGAACTAGAGCCTCTTTGGCCATGAGGTTAAGATTGAAACTCCAGTAGCACCGTGGCCCAAGAATGGTGGTCTTCCCTTTTCATGTATGCTACCAGTCACAGTGACAGAGAGGTCTAAACTCCAAATGCCTGCAGTGGGAACAGGATCAGACCCTAGTTGAAATCATGGCTGCCCCGATAGCCTGTTATCTGGCTGGTGAACAAGGATTTAGTAAATAGGAAGGAAAAGGGAGCAACCAGGCTTACACTGAGCTGTACTTAAGATTTTAGGCTCACGTTCAAAGCCCAGAGCCCCACCCAGGTACCAGGCAGATGTGTGGAGTCAACTATTCAGTGCCTCATACAGTCTTCCCTATGGTGCTTGATGCTGCCATGAGGGCAGGGCACTGGACTCGATGACCTCTCAAGGTCCCTTCCAATTCTAGTGTTCTATGACTCCATCCTGATAAGGGTGGCAGGCAGTTTCTCACAGCAGCGGTACTTTTGGCCCTACCCCGTTTCCCCAGCATGTTGCCACACACTAACCAGAGCAGATTTCCACACCACTCAGCTTGAGAGTCATCTGCACAGCCCTCTTATGGACAGTGCCCCAGTGCTGCTCCGCTGCACTGCTCCATGTCCTTTGTCAAGAGAGAACAGGTCTGAATCTGCCACATGGTAGGTGCTTACAATAGAGGAATGAAATTAAATGATAAATGCAGTTTCACAAGTGTGATTAAAAAAAAGCCCAAGTATGAGGCTCGTTTCAGGAGCTGACTTCGATCTAGTGAGGCTGGATTTTAAATTTAAAAATCTCCAAAAGGAAATTGTATGAAGCATTTGAAGCCCTGGGTTGTTTGTGTTATTTTGGTCCAATGAGCAAATATGTATAGAGCCCTGCAAACCTGTGGATATCTGCTTTATATCCATGGGTATCCACATCCACGGATGTGGATGCAGATATCTGCCACTTATTTTTGTAGATATGGATGCAGATACACATTTGTATCTAGATTCTAGAACCTTGCAAATGTGCAGATATTTCCTTTATATCTGTGGCTATCCACATCTGTGCAGGGCTCTGTATACATATATCTGGCATACAGTGTGAGCCAGTCTAAGCTGCATGGCAGCACAGCTTTATAGGTGATTAATCAGCCCCACCTAGTCAGTCAGCTCTGTGCATGGAGCCCTCAGCCTCTGAGTGGGTGGGGCGATTAATCACCTGTGAAGCTGTGCTGCCGCTCAGCATAGAGGGAACACTGGTGTGAACTCATCGGAGCACATACTAGTTCATTTGCAACAGTGGTAGAGCACAGATACAGAATTTGGTCTTTGTCTTCCATCCAGATGTGACAGCTGGTCCAATTCCGACAGATCCCTGGAGCAGACTTCATCAGATGATGTTTTTGTTGATGCCTTGCAGTCTCAGCCCTCCCTTCATGCACTGTCATCCAGCAACGGCATCATGCACCAAGATGGAGGCCAGCCAGCAAATCATGGGATTCTGCCCAGAAGCATAGATGTTAACGGGCCATTCAGTGATGTCTCCTCCTCCTCTCCGCTGTTAGGGCCTCCTTTAACACCGACCTTCCAGATTGAGAAAAACCAAACCACACTGCCCTATGGTGTAACCAACCTGGATATTTTGTCTAACACGCCACCGCCCCGGCCACCCAAACCAACCCATTTCTCAGACCGGAGGGGGGAGGAGCCACCCAATGTGGCTTTTCAGAATGGACATGCTGGGATCTGCAGAGCTCAGGCTGCCTTGGTGCCGAGACGAATCTCCTTGTCCAGTTTGGATAACGTGCGTCACTGGAAAGGTAACTCTTCCCTTCCCCTCCTGAGCTGCTGTGCCATGACACTGTGATCACCTCCATCAGTTTTACTCAGGTCTGTGATCAAAGCTCTGCTTCATGGCAGCCATTAGCACATTTCAGCCTAACAATAGATGTGAAATTTAGGAACTAAAATGAGTATTTTATCCCCAGTATGTTTAATTATTTTATCTTCATTTGCTCATGTCTAAAGCCAAGCCTTGGAGAGTGTGCACTTCCCAAAGTGGGGATCCAAGCGGCAGAGGTTGCAGGTTGTGCTGCCCAGTGAGAGTGAAGGAGTGGGAGGCAGGAGTTTTATGTTCTTCCCCTGGTTCTGGGACGCTAGGGGAGTGATCCTGGGTGAGCCGGTTTTCTTCTCGCCTTGAAAACTAGGTGCTAAGCACTTTTGCAAAACTGGCCACTACATACAGGCGCAGGCCTTTCTGTGCATTAGTAACCCCGCAGGCCACTGTGCAGTTCAGTGAGTCACTGACAGGTATGCCAAGTATCACTGCCAAGTATCACTGCAGCCTGGAGGCACATGTGGTATCCCTCAGTTGCATACAGCACCTATTCCTCTATGTAGGATTAACCGTGTAAGTGTTAGCTGTGATGTCCCCAAATGTGACAATCTGTGAATTCTGTTTGTTAATTTTTAACAAACATATACACATACAAAACAACCCCAACCAGGCCTGCCTGTCAACCTTAACTCCAAGCCTTAACTTCCACTTACATGGCTCTCGGAATTTTTTACATCCTTAAATGATAAAAATTCAGGCTTATTTGAGTGAAATGCCCCTTTAAGTGCAGTACCTCTACTGCTCCATGTAGTACACTCCATGGAAGGAAGACATCACTTGGCATGTTGAGAGCAAAGGCCTGGAAGACAGGAAGAAGCTGGTGATGGACAGCTGGTGATAAACCAGTGACACCAGTGTGATAGTAAGCCAGTCTATTGATGTCCCTGTATCTCAATAAGCCTCACTAGAAAACTGGGTATAAAGTAGGACACTCTGCTGCACTGAAGCAGAACAAGGCTATTCCACCTGTTCTTGAGACTTTGCTAGAATAAGAAGGGCGGGGGAACCCAAGAAAGAAAGTGTGAGTCATGCTACAGTGTGACACAAATACAATTATGTTCTGAAGAGCCCTAGAACAGGATAAGCAGATAAAATGTCTAGTTGGAAACTATCAAATGTGTTGTACAGAAGCCAGAAGTTTCTAATTGGAGGCAACAACAGGTTGATTCAGCATTATTGATTGGGTTCCTTTATTCTGCAGTTTAAACTGTCACCCATACATTGCACAGAGCCTGTGTGTTTAGATCTTCTTATTAAAGCCAAAACATAGAGGGGTTTGCACACTCTGTTTATCAGTGTTTAAGCAATTCTTGGAAGCTTTTAGAAGAAACACCCATAGCTGGAAATAGTGTTCTTAATAATCAGTTATAATTGAAGGCTGCCTGCGAAATATTCTATGTACTAATGGGCGTGTGTCTCTCTCTCTCACAAACACAATCTAACTGGAGATAGTTAATATTTCTCCATTTTAATTTACGCTGAAGTGCATTTAAGAGGATTAAGTGCCCACATGTCATATTCTGTGAACGTGCTGCAAGGTTATCTTTGCCTGACAGGGGGCAGCAATGAATTAATAAGCATTGCTTCTTCTTTTTATACTCCAACTGTAGCTGAAGCTATTTCTGACTTTAAAATATAAATATGAATGTGAATCAAAATTGAGATCTGCAATAGACATACCAATGGTCCAGCTACTTCTCACTAGTTGAGATGATGAAATGAGCTTACCCCTGGCGAGTTGTCTGTTCATAAGCTTTATCACATGCAAGTTGTACAGCTTTAACTATCCCAGTATAAATAAAGCAGTACAACCCCCTAGTGTTAACTCAGTTCTACAAGTGTAAAGATGCTTTATAAAAGCATAGCTTATTCCCATATGAAAAGGAGACTAATCTATGGTATGTACACTAGCAACGTAACTATTTTGATAAAAAAATCATTCTTCTGATCAGCATAGTTCTAGAAATACAAAATCTGTGTAACTGAGAAAGTACAAGATGCTAATAAATACTGTCTAGAAAGTGGTTTATTTTAGGCACTGATAATATAGTTTCTTTAATTTTTTTCATCTTTTTATTGTCTATTACACTGTTGTATCACTACCAAAAAAATACCCCAATGCAGCTACACGAGAACTTTTCCCAGTCAGATTGTATCATACTCCATTATATTCTATATACCCCTAATATTTATTTAATATTTTATGGCATTCCAGAGACAAGCTCTACACTACAGAATCTAAGTAGGGAAATGGCCCATTTCTCCATTATAGATATTATCTACAAAGGGGGAAAGATGGACAGGTTAAGCACAGGGAGAAAAATAAGGGTTTGAAAGGTAAGAGGCAGCCAGTTGCCCTTCCACTCTCCCAGTTACATTTTTTTCTTCTCTAAATAAACTCCCCAAAAGCAAATGCCAATGTACAGCCATAGATTTAGAGCAAATCTTAACAAGCAAACACAATCTGCCACTCAATCCCACTTTTGCTTCACAGGGACACTACCTCTATCCCGTAGGCAATGGAAACAATCACTCTAGTTCTGTCCAGTGGCTGATTAACTGAATATATTTTACAACCATTTTTGCATCTGTTTTGAAAAGCAAACACAGTAAAAACCAAAAAGAAAACACAAGTGGCATAAACAAAATTTGCACTAGCAGTCATTGTGACAGAGACCTTTTCACTTAATGGAAGGTGAATTTATTCTAAACCACTTGTGTATTAGGATTGCTCATCATTAGCACATGGACATACTTCTCCTCCCATAGTGCATACTATCATGTATTCCATTGTAAATAATTTGTACTTGCCTAATGCCTTAGCTCTGAAGATCTCAGAGCACTTTACAAGCAATAATGATTTAAGCTTCCCAGCACCCCTTTATGATATAATTGTGGCCATTTTACAGATGTGAAAGCTGAGACATGGAATTAAGTCTCAGATCTTCTGAGTCCTTGTGCAGTAGACAAAGATCTTACTCTTCATCTAGACATGATTAGAGAGAACTCGGAATAGGATTATAGGAGTGCATTGACGATTTCTTGTTGTCAATGTGCTTAAAACTAATATAACATTATAAGTAGCCCACTTATTATATAGCAAGTTATTTTGGATCTCATATTTCATCAGGTTCTACCATTCCAGGAAGACTAACAAGATATTTAATGAGCTTTAGAAAGTCATAATTATTTTAATCCCATATGCCTTGCTCCAAAATTATATCCTTCCACTTCCATTCCCCTTTTGTTTATCACATTGTTAATCACTGAGGTATTTTTCCCCCCCAGCAGACATGGAAGGAAGCTCTCTAAGAAGTCGAGATAAGAGGCTTAGTTTGAATTTGGTAAGTACTCTATTTGCATATATTTAAACACTGGCACAAAACAGAATAAAGCGTGTTAATTGTCTTGTGACCTGCTGCTCTGTTACTCCTCTCCTGTGCTCAGCACGGGATTGGAAGCAGAGGGCACAGGCGGCTTTATATCACATTCGCACCGCCTGTATTCTGGTGTGTGTAGCGGCTCGTCCAGCCCCTGCTGTAAGATACAGAAGCTGCACAGATGTTCTGGTACTAGGGTTTTTCACTGCTCTTTCGGATGTCTCTCTTAGTAGCCTGGCCATGCCCCTCCTGACACTCCTAGAACACCTCTTCTCTTCCACCATGCTTCCCCTATGCCGCAACCGTGGAGACAGAGTAGAGCAGAACATGTGGGTCCGCTCTTCACCAAGGCCCTGGCACTAAGGGGTATTTCTGTAATAAAGGGATAGATCACAACTGAGAATGGAGCCCTATGTATTGAAAGTTTCTGTCTCACTTTAGAATCATGCAGGTTATGTTCTTTTAGGGCCTGTTAACCCGGTTTTTGGCTGCTGAGGGTTAGTTGATGCTGGTCAGTGTTGCTGTGAAAACACCGAAGGCAGTGATGTTCCCACCAGGTGTTCCCTGCCCCCAAGAGCTGAGCATGCTGCCTCTGCCTCACCAATCCATGGAGCCTGCGAACCAGAACTGGATTCTCCCAAATGGGAAGGCCCTATGCTGCCTTTAGGCTGCTAAGGCCAGATGCAGACTCTGTTGTCTTTGAGAGATGCCATGTTTTTCTCACATTTTAAATGGATCCTACCCCACTGGTAGTCAATACCTCTTGATACACAACCAGCATTAAGCAGCATAATATGAATCTGCAGGGTTTATCCTCAGCCGTTAAATGTAATCCCTGAGCATATGTCTCTGCACTCAGAGCTTTTGCCTTTGCAAAGGAATAACTCTCCAGATGTTATCTGTTAGATGATTGACATGTGAACATGCTCCTTAAATTATAAGCTTCCTTTCATTCTGTGGCTCAGCTTTGCTGCTGGTATAGGCAAGTCCTTCACAGAAAGCAGTCCCTTTGAACCTGCTTATGCTAGCAATACGTTTGTGCCTGGGTTTCCAGCCATCGTGGCCTGAGCTGCCAAGTTCAGATCTGAACTTTTCCAAAGTCCAGGGAGCCTTGTCTTGGTAGTTTTGGTTCATATCATTCTAGAGATGGGCCACCCCAAAAGTTCAGCTTAGGCCATGCAAGCATGGGATTTAGCTCAAGCTAATTTGTAGCAGTGTCTGGATTAGCCTTTCCTAATTATGAGAGCTGTTCAGTTAACAGGAATGCTCTTTCTTTTCCTTCTCTTTGCAAAAGCCGTGTCGGTTCACCCCACTCTACTCTTCAGCATCAGACAGCACAGAGGACAGTTATGTTCCCATGCGCCCTAGCACCTCGCCACCCATCCCAGGACCTGATTGCTCACCCGACGGCTACACTCCCATGAGCCCAAGCTCAGTGACCTTCACCTTTCCTGTAGTCAACAATGAAAAGCTCTCCAGCCCCCTGCCGGAGCTTCCCACAGACCTGGAACCACCCCCAGTGAATCGAGATCTCAAGCCCCGTAGGAAATGTAAGTCTTTATACCAACCTAGTAAGCAATTAGATGCTAGTACATTGCTAGCCCTGATTACTGCTGTCATTTCTGTAGCACCTGGCATCCCAGGGCATCACAAAGTATGTCACATGCTCCAGGTGTCTCCAGCTCTGCGGTGGAAAGTGGTAGCCAATAGCCTGGAGGGGAGAACATTATTGGCCAACAACCCTTGGACAAACCACTTATTTCATCAAAAATGCTATGAAAATTAAAAAAAAAAAAACACCAAGCTGGCCTCTGTTTTGCTGGGATGTTTAAGGTCCTTAAAGAAAGACCCTAGTGCAATAACAGCTGTGTACTGGCTGTTAAATTTGGGGCATGCTGGATGATGTGCTTTAATCCAGTGGTCCCCAGACTGTGGTGGGGGACACAGAGGAATTTGGGGGGGGGGTCACAGAGGCTCATTCCATTCCTAGCTCTGCTCCAGTCCCAGTCCCAGCCTCACCACAGCCCCGCTCCCCACCACAGCCTGGCCACAACTGTGGCCCCTGGTTCCCGGTCTGGCTCCAGCCTCAGCCCCAGCCCCCAGCCCTCTGTCCCAGCCCCGGCCCTGCTCTCAGCCATAGCCCCCTCCACAACTCTAGCCCCAATCGCAGCCTGCTCCTGGGGTGGGGGAAGAAAGGGTTAAGGCATGATGTAAAAAGTTTAGGGACCACTGCTTTTGTCCATTCGCAACACAGGAGAAAAGCCAGAGAAAAAGCCCTAGCACTGAGTATATTTGTAAAACTGATACAGGTCGTCCCCGACTTACGAGCGAGTTATGTTCCAAACACTTTGTCATAACTCGATCTGTTTGTAAGTCGGATCCCATTCATTTAAATGTGACCGTGCTGTTTGTAAGCATGGATCGCATTCGTAACTCAGGGACCGGCTTAATGGAAGGTTGGTCCTAAATACGAACGGTCGTAAGTCAACACGTTCGTAAGTCGGGGACGACCTGTATTCAACAGTCCTATGACACTCCATGAATGTGGCAACAAAACATTTGCATACTTAGGGGCTCCATCCCCTACTATATGGCTAAGGATGACTCTGGGGGAAGGAGAAATCCATAGGTTTTACTTTACAATTTCCTTCCAGTGCTTTGTTGAAGGGGAGAGGTTTTTTCCCCCAGCCTCATGCCACCTCCAAATCCTCAGTGATTCACATACATCGGGTATGTCTACACTAGCCCCCTAGTTCGAACTAGGGAGGCTAATGTAGGCATTCGAAGTTGCAAATGAAGCCCGGGATTTAACTATCCCGGGCTTTATTTGCATCTTCCCATTTGGACGCCATTTTTAAATCCCCCCAATCTGAACTAACTGCCCGCAGCTACACACGGCAGTCAAACGTTAACTCGAAGTAAGTCCTTAGTTCGAGTTAACTGTTATACCTCGTGAAATGAGTTGAAGGCCTCAGTCCATTTCCCAATGGAGAGATGTTCACATCACAGAAAACACCACCTCATTAAGTGCCCCAATGGGCAGTGACGGTCTCAGAAGGCAGGCTATGAACTGGCTGGAGCTGGAGACTGCAGTAGCCCTTCCCCTGTGGAGGCATCACAGGGTTCAAGCATGTTCACAGTTCACAAGCATGTTCACAGTCGTTCTGGAAAGTCTGCTCTTCTGCTATCCATCTTGTTTAGCGGCTTGCTTTAGGATCCACAGAAGACTTCAGTCTCCAGGGCAGAAAACCATTATTATCCAACATGTTTGTTATGATAGTGCCTAGGTGCCAGCCAAGAATAGGGCTTCATTGTGTTAGGCATTGTACAAACACAGGAGTAGACTGTTGCTGCCTGAAGAGCTTACAGTCTAAACACATAACACAGATGCAAGGTGGGGAAAAGGAAGAGCACATGAGCAAAGTGAACAATGTGATGGCAGCAAATGATATGTTAGTTCCAGGACTTTTTGGCAGGTGGAATGGAGGGTTTAGTTAGGAGGTGACCAGCTAAATAGGAAGGGAAATGAGAGGAGGGGAACAGGATGGGGCAGATGCAGATAAGAGGGGCAAATCCTGAGTAAAGCTGAGGTGAAGAGGCTGAAGAAGTTGGAGCAAACAGCCATTCAGTACAAGGCAGAGTAGGTCCAGTCAGAAATGTAGAATGTTCTCTATGCTTCTGACAGTCCCTGCTTTGGCTGTTTCTGTCCCTACCAGCTGGATTTTCTAGCTGGCTTCTATCTGCAGTTTTTTCATCAAGGCCACATGTGGGCGGCACCACCAGGCTAAAGGAGGGTCACCCACTTATTTATGTTATTAAACCATTAATAAATCCTGCTTTTAAAATTCCTGTTGTACCCATTTGTAGCACGACCTCCTCCGCTGGATCTGAGAAATCTCTCCACAATCCGGGAACACGCTACCTTGACCAGGATGTGGACTGTGCCTTAGTGAGTAGATGAGAAATCTCACATTGAAACCTCTTAAGCATGAGTATTGTGAAATGGAGTTATAAATAACATCACATTCCACAAGAAATAGTTTTTTGGCAAAGTCTATCAACAAACATGCTATGCAAATACCATGGGGCTCCTTCCAGCAATTCACAGGCTTTTGCTGCCATTAAAAAAAGGCTCCTTTTAAAGACAGACACAGTGAACTCCCTTCAGACAGTGCCGTGAGAAATTCTGTGTTTTGGATCTCTTGCATATTAGAGCTACCTCAAAGCCTAAACTCTTTTTTGAAGCTTCCTTATGTAAGTTTCTAGGAGACTGGAGCTAATCTGTTCTCTGGTACAGTTGCTGCAATGTTAGCCCTCAGGCCTGCTAACATTTTTCCAAATATCTTTGTTCTTGAAGATGAATGTGGCAAAGGGCAGGAAAACTAAACTAATGTAAAGGCCTGGCTGGCCTGATGACCCGGGGCTGACGTTCTGCGCTGCCATACCAAAGTGGAGACTTTATTCCTGCTCCTCATTTATTGTCACTGCAAACCCATTGTAGGGCGGAGGAAATGCCTCGAGTCTCTCTCCCCAAGTGATGACAAAGCCATGGTATGAGTGGGCCCCAAAGGGAGTTACAGCCAGGAACTCTTCGCTGGTAGGACAGAAGCAATGAAGGGAAGCTTACGGGTAGTTTGGGATGAAGTGCACTGGCATGGAGAATGGTAGCAATAGGTTCTCAGAGCTGATGGGAAAAGGTTGAAGTAGTTTGCCAGTTTTTTCCCTTAAAAATATCTGGGAGAGCAGAAAATTCTCACAAGCTTTCCTGTGTGGATCCTTTTAGTGCCTGGCACTTGAACCGTGGCTTGCCCAATACTGCCTTTTAGCTGACTTGTCAGGTCCTCCAAGGAAGGGCTTGCTATCTTGGGAGAAGCTGTCCATCTGTCAGAGACAGGCATTCTGATGCCTGCCATCAGAATCTTCCCCAGGCTTCCAGGTTAGCAGTTAAAAACTGGGTAACCCCTTAGGTGCTGTGTACCTGGCATATTTGGCAAAGCCACAAGGTCAGTGCCGCCTCATGAACATCCCTGCCAGCATATCCTGGGTAGTGAAATCTGACATATTTTACTGCCATACAAGGTCTGCAGGGAAGAGGAGCATTGAGGAGCTAATACATTGTAAACTATAAAGATCAGGTTTTTTCATTCGGCTCTGGTGAGGCCCCTCACTATAGAAAGGATGTGGACGCATTGGAGAGGGTCCAGCAGAGGGCAACCAAAATGATTAGGAGGCTGGAGTGCATGACCTATGAGGAGAGACTAAGGGATTTGGGTTTGTTTAGTCTGCAGAAAAAAAGAGAGAGGGGGGATTTGATAGCAGCCTTCAACTTCCTGAAGGGAGATTCCAAAGAGGATGGAGAGAGGCTGTTCATAGTAGTGACAGATGGCAGAACAAGGAGCAATGGCCTCAAGTTACAGTGGGAGAGGTCTAGGTTGGATATTAGGAAAAACTATTTCACTAGGAGGGTGGTGAAGCACTGGAATGGGTTACCTAGAGAGGTGGTGGAATCTCCATCCCTAGAGATTTTTAAGTCTCGGCTTGACAAAGCCCTGGCTGGGTTGATTTAGTTGGGATTGGACCTGCCTTTGGGAAGGGGCTGGACTTAATGACCTCCTGAGGTCTCTTCTAGCTCTATGATTCATACTAAGACTGGAAAATGGCAAATGTCATGCCCATCTATAAAAAGGGAAATGAGAACAACCCAGGAAACTTCAGACTAGTCAGCTTAACTTCTGTGCCACAGAAGATAATAGAGCAAATAATTAAGTAATTCATCTGCAAACACCTAGAAGATAATAAGTTGCGAGGTAACAGTCAGTATGGATTTGTAAAAAACAAATCAAGTCAAACCAATCTGATCGCTGTCTTTGATAGGATAACAAGTCTTGTGGATAAGAGGGAAGTGGTGGACATGGTATACCTAGACTTTAGGAAGACATTTGATATGGTCTTGCATGGCCTTCTTATCAATAAACCAGGGAAATATAACCTAGATGGTACTACTATAAGGTGGGTGCATAAGTGACTGGACAACCATTCTTAGAGAGTAGTTATTAATGGTTCACAGTCATGGTGGAAGGGCATAACAAGTGGAGTTCCTCAGGGGTCTGTTTTGGGACCAGTTCTGTTCAACATCTTCATCAATGATTTAGATATTGGCACATAGAGTACAAACTTATTAAGTTTGCAGATGATACCAAGTTAGGAGGGGTTGCAAGTGTTTTAGAGGATAGGGTGGGTCATAATTCAAAATGAGCTGGACAAACTAGAGAAATGGTCAGGATGAAGTTTAATAAGAACAAATGCAAATTACTCCACTTAGGAAGGAACAATCAGTGTCATGCATACAGAATGGGAAGTGACTGTCTAGGAAGCAGTACAGCAGAAAGGTATCTAGGGGTCATAATGGACCACAAGCTAAATATGAGTCAACAGTGTGTCACTGTTGCAAAAAAACAAAAAAACAAAAACATGATTTTGGGATGCATTAACAGGAGTGTTGTAAGCAAGACACAAGAAGTCATTCTTCTGCAGTACCCTGTGCTGATTAGGCCTCAGAGTATTGTGTCCAGTTCTGGGCACCACATTTCAAGAAAGATGTGGAGAAAGTTCAGAGAAGAGCAACAAAAATGATTAGAGGTCTAGAAAACATGACCTTTGAGGGAAGACTGAAAGAACTGGGCTTGTTTAGTTTAGAAAAGAGAAGACAGAGAGAGGACATGATAGCAGTTTTCAAGTATCTAAAAGGGTATTACAAAGAGGAAGGAGAAAAATTGTTCTCTTTGGCCTCTGATGATAGGACATTAGGGAAAACTTCCTAACAGAAGAAATAGACTTAAATTGCAGCAAGGGGGGGTTTATGTTGGACATTAGGGAAAACTTCCTAATGAACAGGGAGGTTAAACACAAATAAATTGCCTACGGAGGTTGTGGAATCTCTATCAGTATAGAGGTTTAAGAGCATATTAGATAGACATCTATCAGAGATGATCTAGATGGTGCTTGGTCCTGCTGTGAGGCAAGGGGGTGGACTTGATGACCTCTCAAGGTCCCTTCCAGTTCTAGTATTCTATGATTCTATAAACAAACCAAACAAGTTTAAGTGACCACATGAGTTCAGAACAAATAAAGTGAATACCAAAAGGATAACTGTTTGGATTAAAAAGTTTATGTTGTATGAAGTACACAGCTAATCTCTGGTTTACCAGCCATGTTTGCCAAGATGCAGTAATTTTGTGATGATTTGTAGTAGGTTTCAATTATATTATACAAACTGCTTCTGACAGATTAACAGCTAATTTTTTTACTTTTAAAAGGACTAAATTTCAGAGATCTCCAAAGCATAGATAACATGTGTTTGTACTGTGTTCAAAGCCAGCCAGCTTGCTTTGCATGCATCTGCAGTAGCTGATTAATTCATTTCAGTCTCAGAAATGGTGATACCCATACAACAAAGTAACTGCTCCATCAGCACATATTACACAGATGAATGTCTGTACCATTTGCCTTCCTTATTAGGGAATTGCTCTGATGTCTTCTTCTTTGTCATGCTGTCACTGGCAAACTTTTATAGTGTTGAGATAAATCCCAGAAATGAGAAATCCACCAGAGATGTTACTGATGTAACTATAACACACTTTATAGGTAAATAATGTTTTTGGATAGCTACTACATAAAAGCTTCAGAATGAGAGTGGGTTTATTCACCATATGGGCCATGTCAGACTTTGGCTGCTTTTCAGAGCATCTGTAAGATGCTTCCTTAACCTCTCCTATGTTTTTTTTCCTAGCAATCGAACAAGCTTTATCTCTCCAGAAAGAGACGGTATTAATTCAGCAAGAATATTTGCCAATTTAGTTTCCGGAGAAGAGGAAGAAAGTTACATTCAAATGGTAATCTTCACTTTCACACAGCTATCCTTTGCTCTATTCTGCTCTGTCACATGGCCTGAGAATTCTGAAG